ACGTACAAGCGTGGAACCAGGATAGATACAGCCATAGAAATTTATGTCACGAAACCAAACTAATAACCAGGTCCATGACCCCATGGCATGGAATAGAAAGGAGAACTAGTAAAAAAACTAATAGTGTCTAACTGGCGTCAACAATGGAGTAAATCACGTCTATCTAATGTAGAACCTAATAAAAATCAATAAAAACATATATCACGTCATACAGATCTTCTATGTGAATTGGTGACTTCATTGCTGATCATGGGGATCCAAATGGGAGAAAAGTCCAAACTGGGTTGGCTAATTGGGTTGGCTGAGCATGCCATATGGGCCACTTCCTTGTATTTCCTATACCTGATGTGGCTTTCAATATCCAAAATCTTAGCTTCATCCCAGCCTACCCTATGTCCCAGGGTGGTCCCAGGGTGGTCCCAGGTGTTTATAACCTTTGTGTTTTGTGACATTGGTTGTCCAGTGATTGAGGCTAGCTCTTTCTAAGGGACCCAACAGAATAGGTGTATTCCCTCACCTGAAGATGGAAACAGATCCAGTTTCCGAAATTAGTTACATTAAAAACCAGGATGATGGATAAAGTCTGAAAACCTAATATCTCTGTGTGTTATACACCATCGTCAGAATCCTATAGTAACTACTAATATTTACATAATTCGGTGCCCCATCTGAATACTTAATTTTCACTCATACAGATTCTAATTACACGGTGCAATCCAAAAGTTCCCGAAATTTGAATTTTGTGCATGAATGGTTACGAGTACATCAAAATACCGCTAGGTGTCTCCCCACACACCCTTCTTGAATCAGTCCAAGCAGTAATGTGTCTGTTATCTGGGAGGTATTCCGTTCATGTATTGGCCAGGTTATGTTTCAGTTCTTCCAGTGGAATACTGAATAGTACATTTAAAAAGACAGCTACCCATTTAAACGTACAACAGGCAAATATCTTATAGTTTAAGCAGACCATTTTGTGACCCAGGATCCTCATTAAATCCTGACCCTACATAGCAAGCAGAAACAAATAAATACTGTATACTTGAACATTTAATTTAATTATCCTGTATCCACTGCAATGGTTACTCAAATTGAATGATATGAAAGCACTATTATGGATAGTAAACTTGAAAGCTTGATGGACTGTTTGAAGCCTATTTCAAGACACTATTCCAACATATGGCTAGTTGCCATGGCAATTTGCCATGACTAACATTATCCTAGCTGAGGTTCAAACAAGTCATCTCCCAAATATGTCAGAAGCATTACTGCTTCAGCCAAACTGCTCAGAAAGCAACAAAATATCTACCTGTGATGTTACAGAATGATAATCTTCTACAAGCTTCCTAAGTTCTGCATTCTGGTGACACAGTGCACTCCCACTCAAGTCAGCTGTAATTTTTTGTTCTGATTTTGTTACTGATGCTACACTGTCAAGGTATTTTTTCATATCCTTTTGCAGTCTTCTTGTTAGCTCTTCGACACTGAAAAGGAAAGTAGGTTCATACAGACATTCTGAATATTGATACCAGAAACATATATAGTTCCATCTTGTGTGACCAAGATGAAGATAAGTGTGGCTCCTGCTTATGAGATGGTTGGATTTTGTGCCATTCCTACAAGGATTACCACACAGTTAGGTAAAACAGAACACACCAGCGAAGGTAAGTAATTTATACTCACAGATGACATTTTGAATTCAAGTCTCTTTGCAAACAAAATGGATCATTATTTAAAACTGTAACTACATTAACACCAAACAGGCCAGTCTATAGGTAATGGAACTAGACTTGTATTCAGAAAGTACCTGCTCTGAATTTGGGCCAGAGCACCAGCTATCTGAATGGGTGTTTCGCTGTTTTTCTTAGTCCCTCAAAGCAAGTGTCATAGTAGTTCCTTAATGATATGATCCTGTCACCACTTCTTTCAATATCCTTTCCAATCTACTCTACCGTTCCACATCTCGTGAGTATTAAATTAGAAATAATAATATGTGGTGATACAAACATAAACTATCTCACTGAATGTCATAAAAAAAGAGTATTTAAAATCTGTATTAGATATCTATAACTTAGTACAAATAATTGATTTTCCAACTAGGATAAGTTCAACTACTATTTCATTGACAGACTGAGGGCCGCGCCATAGCTCAAGCAGTTAGTTGCTGGCTTCCCACTGTGGCGGCCTGGGTTCGATCCTGGGTCTCGTCAAGTGGGATTTGTGGTGGACAAAGTGGTGCTGGGGAAGGGTTTCTCCGAGTACTTCGGTTTCCCCTGCCAATCTTCATTCCACCAATTGCTCCACAATCACCCTCACCTATCATCTGGGGCTGGTACAATAGGCCAGAAGTGGCTGCAGTACAAGGGAATTAGTCCCACCCCACTAGCAATAACAAAAAAATTAGATAACTTTTTTAGATAGGAATTTTTATAATACATTCCAGGTCCTTCCAGTCTTAAATGGTCTTTTGGACCATGATGGAAAAATCTTGATACTTGAAGATTTGCAAATTAAGAAGAAAAAGGAGCACATGTGCATTAAGAGGGATTAGTGAGTATAACACTGCAAATTTCAACTGGCCCTACAAAAAGAAACTTGGAAAGAAGTCTATAACCAAGAAAATCTTAATAGGAAATTTAATATTTTCCATAATAAAGTTTTGAGAATAGTTTTCCATTAGAGTTTAAAAAGAAAACAAAACATCAATGATAAATGGATAATTAAGGGCATAAGAGTATCTTGTAAATATAAGAGAGCCCTACACACTTTAGTTAAAAAATCTAATGGTGATGGGCTGAAAATATTCTACAAGAGATACCGTACTATTTTAATGAGAGTAATAAGAGAAGCAAAGAAATTGCATTACCATGAATTAATAAGTAAACCAAAGAATAAAACAGAATCAACCTGGAACATAATCAATAAAGAAACAGTGATAAATCGATCCATGGACAATATCGTAGAAATCCAGGTGGGGGAAAGTAAACTAAATAATCCTAATGAATTAGCCAATGCTTTTAATCAGTATTTTACAACAATAGCAGAGAAATTTGTAATTATGAATTCTGATACAAATGAAGCTAATAAATTGCTCAATAATTCCAAGTATGATAACATACCAAAAATGAAATTAATTCCTGTAGCTGAGGCAGAATTAAAGAATATAATGAAGTCACTGAAACCAAAAAATTCTACAGGGTATGACAGTGTCTCTAATAGAATATTGAAATATTGTATAGACGAGATAAGCAAGCCACATGGGTTGGAACTTTAATAGTGGCAACACTACTGTAGAGACGCCATGCAATGGAACCAAATAATGTCACTTATACCACACGTTAGTTATATACCTACCTTACCTCAGAGCAAATGGACTCTCCCTTCCCACATCACGTGCATGAGCAGTGACGAGAAGAACAGAGCCTCGTGTTAGCTGGCGGTCTAATGTAGTGTTGTCACGATGTTTTTGAAACAGGAACAACGGAGTTGGATAAAGATTGACTGTACCAGAGGCCGTACAGCATGCCAGTGTAATCAAGGTCTTCAAGAGGCTTGCGGGGAATCTGCATTGCCTTACAGAACAGTGGCAAGGTGGATAAAAACCTTCGAGTGATGCCAAAATGTGGCAGACATGCGTCGGCCAGGTCATCCTAGCGTCAGTGAAGAAGTGTATGCTCTTTCCATGTTACTGGAGAGTGATGGATGCCATACGATTCGCGAGCTGGCCCAAGAGACAGGATTAGAAGATAAGACTGTGCTTCACATTCTAAAGGAATGCCTGGGCACGAGAAAAACTGCATCACGATGGGTTCCGCATGATTTGATGGAAATGCAGAAATGGCAAACTGTGGCTGATTTGTTTGATCGATGGGGCTGGGAAGTGCTGTACCATCCACCATACTCCCTGGACTTAAGCCCTTGTGACTTTGACTTGATTCCTAAGATGAAGGAACCACTTCATGGCATTTGCTTCAGAACTGCTCCAGAGATTCTTCAGGCAGTAGACTGCTCCATTCGAACTATCAACACAACAGGTGCTGCTAAAGATATCCTATGACTTCCACATCACTGGCAACAGGTGGTACACAGTGCTGGTGACTACACTGAAGGACAGTAAAACTTTGAAACATGCATCTATTTTGTATCAGTTGTAAATAAATAGTTGCCACTATTAAAGTTCCAACCCTCGTATTTAATGCATCCCTTAAACAGGATATCTATCCTGCAAGAATGAAATATGCATCATTACGACCTATATATAAAACAGGTGAGAAGTCAGATATGACAAATTATAGACCAATATCATTGTTGACAACCCTTTCTAAGTTGCTTGAAAGAGTGATGTATAATAGAACAAATAATATAATTGCATCTGAACAGTTTGGCTTTAGGGAAAATAGGAATACGGAAACAGCGATCTACACCTTAACTAAACATATCTTAAAAACCTTAGATCAGCGTGAACAAATATTAGGAATTTTTTGTGATCTAACAAAGGCATTTGATTGTGTCATTCATGATATTCTTCTGAGCAAATTGGTTGTCTATGGTATTTGTGGTAAAACCATAATGTGGATTAAATCCTATCTGGAGGGTAGGAAACAAAGAGTTGAATTGTACAATAGTGAGAAAGGGAAAATTTGTTCAGGTTGGAAAACTGTTAAATGTGGAGTGCTGCAGGGGTTGATATTGGGGTCCCTTGCTGTTTCTGTTATATATTAATGATTTATCACTAGGTCTAAATACTGATATCAAGTTACTGTTGTATGCGGATGATACAAGCGTATTAGTATCGGGTGATAATATCCTGGATATCCAAACAAAGTTCAGACATGTGTCTGAACTTGGGAGTGTGCTGGTACAAACAGTGAATTGGCCTTATTGCCTTGGTACTGCAACTCCTGTGTGCAAGCCATCGTAATAAAGAAACAAGACGAGACAATCTTGAGTTTGAGTAGGGAGCCTGAATTTGCAAAACCTGAGGTTAGCCTCTTAAAAGAGGAATTAAATTTAGTAGATAATTGTCCTGAAGAATTTAGAACTGTATTGAACTCCTGAAGGAAACATAAGATTGTTTCCTCCTCATTAGATACTAAGTTTACTTCAACCAATCGATTTGAACCTTTAGCTATGCTAGAGCCTCAAACTGATGGTAACTCTGTAGACCAGCTGGCCAGTGCTGAATCTAGTTATAAGCCTATATTTTAGGAAAAGCCTAAACATCAGATTCTTGTACTTGGTATCAGCCATGGTAGGGGTATCGGGCAGAGGCTTCAAAATGCTATGGGAGATGGATATGCTGTGACCAGCATATTCAAGCCCAATGCTGACCTGAGTGTCACTGGGGACATACAAAATTTGTGTAAGGATCTTAATAAAGAAGATTGAGTAGTTATAGTTGGGGGGGCCAGGAAACAGTTTAGATAGGAACCTCAATTACCAAAGTGAGAATGACATAAGTGACATTGCTCAAAAAACCAGTCACACCAATGTGAAGTTTTTTGGTCTTCTCTGGCGACATGACAAACCATGGATTAACAGGTGGGTAAGGGACATTAATCTTCGACTTGAGCGTTCACTTATGGGGACTGACAGGACTCACATTGATGGGATTGATGTCTCTTCAATAATGAGGAATGAGCATACTGTTCATGGTCTGCATCTTAATCGAGGCAAGGACAAGCTCACGCGACTCACTGCAGAGAGCTTTAAGGGCAGACACATTCCAGTTGTCATGGGTGTTCAGAATCCTTTTTTAGGCTAAACAGTGCAAGTAAGGTTTACCAAATAAAAGAAATTGCAAAAGAAAATAATCCTTCAGCTAGTAATAAATGCCAACAAATAGAAATCAAAAAAGGAAATAAAAGCTCGATAAAATCAATACAAAACAAAGTACTAAGAGTGTTCCATCAGAATATAAGAGGACTGAGAAATAAAT